CCTGCGATACTGTGACAGTCAACCCGATAACTGGGAGGGCTACTAAGTGACTACTGGGCAGGTAGCATAGACAATATGGAAATGCTGCACAAAGTGATAATTCATGTACCAGGTGGGATGGAGCAGGACAGCATGGAATTTCATCGTACTACCGAGGTGTGCAATTTTAAACTTTTAAATTGTTTATTTCTGGAATTTTTATTTAATAGTTTTTGACTACAGTTTACCATGGGTAATTAAAACTGTGGAAAGCAAATCTGTAGATAAGGGACACTACTGTATGTGTCTATAGTAGTATCTTTTAAATTACTACAATTCCTATTCAATTCAAAACAACAAATGTATATTGTGATTTACTATGGACAAGAAACATTGTTCTAGAAATTACAGAAACTATAGAGAAAGGAATACATTGACTTCTCTCAACACATATAGACTCTAAACAGATGAAAAAACAAATATAAAATATATAACCAACCAGAATGTAAGGTAAAAAAAAATCAAATCTATAAATATAGTGGAATCCAGAAAGGTTCAGTGGATACATGGCATCTATGATGGGCACTGAATGCTGACCAGGGTCCTAGTAATTAGAGATTGATGATAGAGTCCATTCCAGATCAAGGGAATCAGCATATAGATATTAGGTGTATTCATCTAATAGTGTATAGTCCAGTTTGTAGGAGTGTGAGGTACAGTGTGGTTGGAGTAGTTGTTATTATTATAAGTATTTTAAAAATAAAATAGAACCAACAAACTTAAAATTTGTATGTAAAGACTTGAATGTAAGACCCAAACCATAAAACTCCTAGAAGAAAACATAGGTGGTATGCTCCTTGACATTTGTCTTGGCAATTATTTTTTGGATTTGAACCAAAAGACAACACAAGACAAAATTCAGCAAGTGGTACTACATCAAACTAAAAAGCTTCTGCACAGCAAAGGAAAACATCAACAACGAACAGCAACCTACTGAGGAGGAGAAATCACTTGTAAATCATAGACTTAGTAAGGGGTTAATATCCAAAATATATAAAGAACTCATACAACTCAACAGTAAAAAAATAATCTGAATTTTAAATGGACAGAGGATCTGAATAGATATTTTTTCCAAAGAAGACATACACATGGCCTACCTGTACATGAAAATATGCTCAACATTACTAATCATCAGAAAAATACAAATCAAAACCACAATGAGATATCACTTTACACATGTCAGAAGAGCTATTTTCAAAAAGAGAAAAAATAACAGTGTTGGCAAGCATGTGCAGAAAAGGGAACCCTGAGTGTCGCCGTTGGACGTAATATAAATAGGTGCAGTCACTATGGAGTATAGTATTGTATTTCATCAAAAAATTTTAAAAAAAACTACCATATGATCCAGCAATTCTCCTTCTGGGTATTTATCTGAAGACAATAAAAACACCATTTGGAAAATGTATATACTCCCCCATGTTTATTGCAGCATTATTTACAATAGCCAAGACATGGAAAAAATCTAAACATCCATCAATGGATGAATGGATAAAGAAAATGTGGCATATATAAACATCGAAGTATTATTTAGCCATAAAAAGGAATGAAGTATTGCATTATGGTAAGTGAACTAAGTCAGACAGAAAATGACAAATACTGTATGATCTCACTTATATCTGGAATCTGAAAACAAAACAAAACAAAAAATCAATCCCAAACCAAAAGAAAAAACAAAAACACAAACTCATGGATATAGGGAATAGATAGACGTTTGCCTGAAGTACAGAGTGTAGGGGTGGGAAAAATGAATGAAAGGAGTCAAAAAGCACAAATTTCCAGTTATAAAGTGACCAAGTTATGGGGATATAATATACAGCATGATAACTATAGTTAATAATACTATTGCATATTTTAAAGTATCAGGAGAGTGGATCTTGGAAGTTCTCATTACAAGAAAAGTAAATTTTGTAACTATATGTGGTGATGGATGTTAACTGGAAATATTGCAGTGATCATTTGCAATAGATACAAATATCAAATCATTACATCTGAAACTAATACAATGTCATGTCAATTATACCTCAATAAAATAGTATTCATTATCACTTATATGGAACCACAAAAAAACACGAATAGCCACAGCAATCTTGTGAAAGAAGAACAAAGTTATAGGAATCATGCTATCTGATATCAAACTATACTACAAAGCCATAGTAATCAAAACAGCATGGCACTGCCATAAAAACAGACATATAGATCAATGGAATGGAATACAAAGCTCAGATATTCTATTCAATAAATGGTGTGGATAAAATTGGACAGATACATGCAAAAAAAATTAAACTAGTTCACTTTCCTATACCATATACAAGAATAAACTCAAAATGGATCAATGACTTAAATGTAAGACACAAAAGCATAAAACTCGTAGAAGAAAACATAGGCAGTAAAATCTCAGACATTTCTCTTAGTAATATTTTTTTCTGCTATGTCTCTTCAGGAAAGGGAAACAAAAGAAAAAAATAGATGGGACTACATCAAACTAAAAAGTTTTCGTACAGCAAAAGTAATCATCAACAAAATGAAAAGACAACCCACTGAATGGGAGAACATATTCTCCAGTGATACATCTGATAAAGGATTAATATCCAAAATTTGTAAGAACTCATACAACTCAACACCAAAAACATCAAATAACTCAATTAAAAATTAGGCAAGGAACTGAATAGACACCCCTCTAAAGAGGACATAGAGATAGACATATGAAAAGATGTTCAAAGTCACTAATCATCCAAGAAATGCAAATTAAAACCACAATGAGACATCCCCTCACACCTGCTAGAATGGCTATCATAAATAAATCAACACACAACAAGTGTTGGCAAGGTTGTGGAGAAAAGGGAACCCTCATGCACTGCTGGTGGGAATGCATGTTGGTACAGCCACTATGGAAAACAGTATGGAGGTTTCTCAAAAAATTAAAAATGGAATTGCCTTATGACCTAGTGATTCCACTTCTGTGAATATATGCAAAGAAATGCAAAACACTAATTTGAAAGAACATATGCACCCTTAGTTCTTTGTAGCATTATTTACAAAAACCAAGCTATGGAAGCAACCCAAGTGCCAATCAGCAGACAAGTAGCTAAAAGTGGTGGGACATATATACAATGAAATATTACTCAGCCATGAAAAAGAATGAAATGGATGGAACTAGAGGGTATTATGTGAAATGAGTCAGTCAGAAAAAGACAAATACTATAAGATTTTACTTATATGTGGAATCTAAAGAACAATATAAACAAAAATAAAAATAAATAAACAGGTACAGAGAACAGATTAAGGTTTCCAGAGGGGAGGGGAGTTGGGGGAGTGGGTGAAAAAGATGAAGAGATTGAGAAGTACAGATGGTAGTTACAAAATAGTCATAGGGATGTAAAGTACAGCATAGGGAATATAGTCAATAATATTGGAATAACTGTGTATGGTACCAGGTGGACTGGGAATATCAGGGGGAACACACTTTGTAAAGTATATGATTGTCTAACCACTGTGCTATACACCTGAAACTAATGCAAAATAATATGAATGCAAACTGTAATTGGAAAAAAATCTTTTCTGTACCTATTGACATGATAATATAGTTTTTCTCCTTAAATTGTTGATATCATGGATTATATTGATAGAATAATAATTATTGAACCACCTCCAAAAAAACTTACTTGAGTACATTGCTGGATTAAATGTAATTGTTTGGAATCGTGTCTCTATTAATAAACCTGAAAATGTATATACTCATAAATGAGACGGCTCTACAATTTCCTGGGGGTCTTTTGTATTGTCTTTATTAAAATTAAATTTAAACTTGAAAAAAAAGTATTAGTTATCTGTACATATTTGACTGTTTATTAGACCACCTTATTGAAAATGCATTCCTCTGGGCTCTAAAAGAATGTTTTTTCATTTAACTATTATTACAGCAGGTAGATTTGGTGTTTGTTTCCAACACATTTCTTAGTAAGCAAATGGTGAAGCCAGTTCATATCTTTACACTAATTCCTGTATTCCCTCATGTTACACTTTCCGTTGCCCATCCTTGACTCATCTCACTTTCAGCCCTCTAGGCCAAATAACTTATACAAGACACATCTACAATTTTTCCTTGTGATCGTGTATCTGATTCCACACAATCTAATCCTATTACTCCCTGACTTGTGTAGACTCAGGATGTGATTGTATCTAGTCACTTACAGATGATAACTCTAACTGCTCAATGACAGTGGTACAGTGGACATGTTCCTAAAATCATTCCCCTAAAAATCCTTATATTATCATTGGCAGGAGTGTCATTGATTGGAAGCCTTTGACGAAACATTGAAATAAACACACAGGATTTGGTATGTGTAAGACTCTCTGCCAAGTATTCTCAGAATCATCTGAGTAATGAATTGTAGCAATAATGCAGAGAAAGGATTTGGAGCTTTGTACACTAGCAAGAGAAAAAAGTAATTCTAGATTGTCAAGTTTTTGAAAAAAAGAAATGTTCTTTGTTCTCCCTCCCCACCATCCCAAAGGAATGAACAGAGGTGTTAGGTCAAATACAGTTGACCCTTGAACAACATGGGTTTGAACTGTGTGAGTCCCCTTGTACAGAGATTGTTTTTATTAAATATCTGTACTGTTTTTATCTATGGTTTGGAGTCCGCCGATGCAGAGGGCCAGCTCTATGATTAATCTATGCCATTTTACATAGGGTACGTGAGTATCTGCAGATTTCTCTACCCACCCAGGGTCCTGAAACCAATTCCCTTGGATACCAAGGGACAACTTAAGTTTTTGGGGTTTCACACATTATATGTGGATTTTCTACTGTATGAGGTAGGGTGGTCAGTGCTCTGACTCCTGTGTTGTTCAAGGGTCAACTGTATTTTTTGTCTGAAAATTTAATCTCTTTATTTAGCTTTTTTCCTGAGCTGAGCTACAACCAATATTTTTCTAAAGGAGTTGCTGTCTGTTTATAGGTGCAAACCAGTTATGATGTGACACGCTATGAAAATATTTTCTCCCTCTTCTGGGTTCTGGAGCAGCTTCTTCAGAAGGAAAACGAAGAAGGCAGCACTTCAGGTATGGGGCACGATGACCAAGAAATCAAGAAATTTCTTCAGAAGCATGATGAAGCTATTTCCCAACTCTCTGATACATTTCCTTTATTTACTTTTTATTTATGGAGACTGGGCGTTCTCTTGAACTCTATAGAAATAAAAACTGTTGAAAATAACGCACTTCCTTAGCAGTTTACCAAATGTCAGAAGCATACTAAAGTTGAAAAATGAAGATCTTGTACTTAAAATATGTTCAAGAAGATTTTTAAATGAGCATTTTAAATGGATCTCTAAATATAATCATTAATTAAATTTAAGTCATATATCAATTATTATGTCATATTTCTATACTACAATCAGCCAGTATCAGCCTATTCCCATGTAACTGTATCTTACAATGTTACTCAATATAGGTCTATTATTCTTTAGAATGGACTATTACTTGTCTATATCATAAAAGATATTTACATTTTTAAAATATTTCCATGTAATAGATACTAAAGGTAATGGAATAGATCTTAAAAGTTTTATTGCTTTATCAACATGGTATTTAAAATTTTTTTCTTTATTGATTTTATAGAGAGAGGAAAGGAGAGGGAGAGAGATAGAAAGAGACATCAATGAGACAGAACATTGATTGGCCGCCTCCTTCACACCTCCCATTAGAGATCAGGCCCACAACCTGGGCATGTGCCCTGGCCAGGAATCGAACCAGCAACCTCTTGGTGCATGGGTGGATGCTCAACCACTGAGCTACACAGGCCAGGCTCAACACAGTATTTAAAATAAGTGGTTATAAATTATATTTTTAAAACTTCTTTTTCTTACATAGTTTCACTTATTGTCTATCATCTTAGAAGGGACTCCTGTAGGAGGAGGAAAGTCTTCAACATTTGTAAAGGTCATTAATTGCCTTTAATTTCATATAATCAACACATCTGTCAGATACTTTTGAAAGTACTAATTAGTTGTTTAAATGTTTTGTTTGTTTTTTCAAAACATGTTTGTTTTGGTTCTGTTGATTATATGTAATACTCCTGTTATTGTTAAAATGTAGTTAAGTCATATGTAATACGATATTAAGGAAATTTTCACAAGCTCTAACATTTATTTAGAAATATACTTAATACTTACAAAAAGTATATGTATACTTATTAAAAGTACTGGTTGAATTTTTAGTTACACTGTTTTATTGACTTTATTTCAATCATTAAAATCATACCCAACTAGCTTAATGAGCACACATTATGTACTTTCCTGTAGTATAATTTAAGGCAAAAAAACAAATTTGCTTCATTAAGTATGTGTTGTATTGTTTCATAAGTTAATTATCATTCCCAAATGCCACTGATTTTTTTTTAATGTATGTAAAATCATATTATTATCTGTCAGTTACTTTGGGAGTTATTTCTAGCTTTCTAGAAAAGATAAAGCCTTTTTATAATATTGAGACTCCATGTATGTATCAGTCAGTGATTATGTAATGAACAATCAAAAGTCTCAGTGACATACAAGAAGTAGTTACTTCTCAGACGTGTGTGCGTCACTCGGGGATCAACTCACCTGAGCGGGGCTCTGCTCAGGCCGCAGATCCCACTGGGTTGGGCTCCTTATTATACATCAGGTTTACTCCCTACTGGTGGTATCTTTAAAAATTATTATAATCCAAATTATTATTATTATTTGGTCTCTTCCACACGTGCATCTTCTGGAGCCCAGGTTGAGGGCAAAGAGCACTCAGGGGAAGCGTCTCTGTGGGATGGCAGACTGGCAGGGAGAAAGGGCTAGGCTGGGAAGTGTCACACTAATTCCTGCCACATGTGTTGGCCAAAGCACCTCAAATGGTCAAGCCCTGAGAAAAGGGACAGGGAAATCTCCTCCACCTTGAGCGGGAGAACTTGCAAAGTGATATGGCAAAGGCTATGGATAGAGGAGAGGGTGGAGAATTGGGGCAAATAATTTACTCCACCACACATACTAGTTGAACACAAGAAGGATAGTCCAGGTCCTGAATTAAGAACTTTTCTAATATCTGATTTCTGGGATTTGGAAAAATCACTTCGGTTAATGATACTGCATAAAATTCACTGCCCATGACATCTCCCATCCCCCCTCTTCCAAATGATTAGACAAGGTTGGTAAATATATAATGCCCTCTTTCCACTGTGGTCAGCCAACATGATGATCAGAAGAAGCCTTTAACTAGAACAGATTTCTTAATTCCAGTAATCTTCAAAGCTTCTAGGAAATGTATCGAGTACAGAGAACAGACAAGTGTTGGGATCATTGTTAATGTATAAAATGGAGATACATTTTATTTCCATTTAGTTTTATTTTCATATAAACACTAAAATTCAGTCAATTATATGATACCTAACCCTTCATTATTCTATGTTTCAGTCTATAGCAGTGTAAACTGTGCTGTAAATTTAGTATTGAGGTCTAAAGGTCTTGCTGGAAAAAAGGAGATAAAATAAGACATTTTTATCTCTATGATTCAATAAAGCAGTGAGATAAAAAAATGAGTGAATGAATTAATGATTTAACCTAGAATTAAGAATCTTGTAGCAATTAAGATTTGATTAATGTCTAACTATAATTAAGATTTGGGGATAAAAATAATGGAGACAGTAGAAAATTGAGCTCAGTGCTGAAACTGGATATGAGATCCAGTGGGAAATAAAAAGGACCATAAAACATCCCTAAAATGGAGGATAATAAAAATGGTAAGTGCTAACACTTGTGTACTATTTATTATAAATAAGTGTATCACATATATTAGTATGTGATGTTATGACATCTATTTATTACATATATAGTACATGTATACATTATGTATTTTTACATACTATATTATGAAGTATATATTATATTAGATATATAGTTAGATATAATATATTAACAATAACTAGATGCTAGGCACTGATTTAACCATTTTGTATATATGATCTCATTTGATTCTCCCAACAACCCTACGTCATAGGGCACATTATTATCTCTATTTTGAAGATAATGCCTGTGCTCAGGCAAAGGCATGTTCAGCAGCTTGCCAAGTCCCCACTCCAGGAGTGGAAGAGCTGGGTTTCACCTCCAGGATTCCATCTTCCCAGTCCACTCTTAATTACTGCACCTCAGCGCCTGTTCAGTGCAAACTGGCATTTCATGAAACTCACAAATACCGCATCTTTGAGCTTGTCATCGAAGCTTTATATGCCCTCAACTACAAATCTTAGAGTATGGCAGTTCATATTTGCGTATTTTGAGTTCAACCTCTACAGAGCAGCTGTCTTGTCTACCACCATCTGGAGCTACAGCACATTTGTCTTTTTCTGAGTGTTAGCATTTACCATAGTAAAAAATCTTCAAAGGTGCAGTGGGTGGACAGTCAGGCTGCAGTGCTCAGCTCAGTGGGAGAGGAAACAATGTGATTGTTTCATCCTTGGCTCTAAAAATAGGTATTGGGGATATTTTATGCATTTCTTTCACAAACTATGGTACTTTTCACTCATATTTGTGGGCATCCTATAGGTAAGGGCAATATATTCCTGGAAGAGAGGCAAGGGAAAAAAAACTACATTTCCAGATTTTTATGTACATTTGTAGATTTTTTAAAAATATTGATGGCTGGTTTCATTTAGTCATCAAATATTAAGCACCAACTTTGTGTGCAAACCAATTATTTGCACATATAAAAATAAGCACACTAAGTTTTGTATTTTATCTGATTTATAAAATAGAACTTTCTTTTAACAGTCAGTACAATGACCCAACATCAATAGTTTATATTTGCTAAAGGAGATAATTAGAGTGATAACACTGACATTGAAAAAAATATACAGGATTTTTATTATTATTAGCACCATGCTCTAACCAACTGAGCTAACCGGCCACCAGGATTTTTATTATTATTGAAAGTCAGTTCATTCTTTTAAAATAGGAAATAAACTCCACTCTTTCTGTTTTTGTTTTTCATTTAATATGAAAGTCCTCTAGTCGTTTTAAGATTCTATGACTAATAAAGCTTGTAAAAAGAAAATATGAGTCTAACATTCAAGACTTTGAAGTAAAATTCATTTTCTAACTCATATACTTTGGATTTGTAATATTTTCTTCTGATATTTTAATCTAATTTGTGTTGAAGCTGCCTAACTGGTTGGTGAAATTGTTATATTTTAGTCAGTAGTTGTGTTTCATAGCAAATCCATTGAGGCATTAAGATTAACAGATAAACATTAATCTCAGTACGTCTCTGATCTGTGTGTAAAGCAGTGGTCCCCGGGCCTGCAGTATCAGCAGCATCGGGAACCAGTTAGAACTGCAGAGTCTGGGGCCCCACCCAGACCTACTTCACAATCAGAAAGTCTGGGAAGGCGCCCAGAAATCCGTTTTATCAAGTCCCATAGGTGGTTGGAGAACCACTATGAACAGTCACTATTTTTACTTTACAGCAGGACTTAATACAGATAAAGTCATTCAGAAAGTAGAAATTCAATCATCCCAAATTACTTAACTGAGTTATTTAATTTTCCCTGTGGGTGCCTTAAAATTCCAAAGGAGGATTTGGGGGAAGTTAATTATTTATGATTAACTTAAAATGAGTATAAAATTTGTAAATATATCAATCTTAATAACACTTAAAAATTAGCATCATTATAATTAGCTTTTGGTTCCTTCACTGAAGTAATTACTCCCTATTGGTGGTATTTTACAAAATTATTATAATCCAAATTATTATAAATTAATTAGAGCTTTCTGCATTAGTCCTCGTATACAGTGAAGAACATGCAGAAACATGCAGACATGATGTTACTTTACTCTTAAGTTGAGGTATTAGGCACCCCAAATAATATCAGAATGTTCATCTTATTCCCAGAGATCTGTTTTTATACGTATACTTGGTTGCAAATATATTATTCTATTTCTCAATCCTAGAGTTGAAATTCCATCTTCTTTAAGTCCTTCTGGAATACGGTGCAATGTAAATAATAAACGATTGCCTGTTCTCAACACATGTGCTTAATTTATTTCCACCATGTTGAGTCCCTTCCACATTCCTACAGCTCCAGAGCTACACAAAAACAGCACCCCTGACAAGGTTGGGGAACAGAGCCATCACTGCTCTAGGTTCAACGACTTCACTACTAAGACCTTTTCATGATTAATCATTTCAGGAACAACAGAAACACCAA